TATTAGATCCTGGTATTACTGAAACTGGCTGTTAATGGAGAGGCCCACCTGGCACCATTGTTATTTGCTTTTCGGCGCCAGGCCAAGACCTTTTTATTTAAACGTCATTTTAATTGTTAGCTTTATTTATTGATTTTATATCTTCGGCCAGGACGTCTCCAATTATATTGTTTTTATATGTTTAATATGTATTTATTTATTGTTGTGAGCCGCCCCGAGGCTTCGATGAATGGGGCGGCATAGAAGCTTACTAAATAAATAAATAAAGGTTGGAAACGGATTTTAAATTGTGCATGTTCAAGTTTTTGTATTGTGTTTGTGTGTGTGTGTGGGCGGGAGATTGTTGACAAAATTGTTTTGGCTTTTGGGCAGGACAGAAATAGAATGAATATGAATTAAAATGTAAGTAGGCAAGCAGCTGTAGCCAAGAAATTAGGAGGAGGCTGAGAGTCGGAAGGGCTGCACTGAAGGAGCTGGAAAAGATCATCCCGTGCATAAGGACGTTTCACTGGGAACCAAGGCCAAGATCATCCACACCACTGTACGGGTGTGACAGCTGGACTGGAAGACAACCAATGTGTTCCAAACACAGTGCTGAAGAAGAACTTTGTGAAAACGTGGGCCCAACAGAAGCACAAAAAGTGATACTCGAGCAAATCAAGGCCGAGCTTGCCCCAGAAGCAAAAATGGCAAAACTGAGGCTGCCCTTCTTTGGACACATCATGAGAAGGCAAGACTCCCTGGAGAAGACAGACATGCAAGGGGAAGTTGAGGGCAGAAGAAGACTAAATAGGAGATGGAGCTACTCCATAAAGGAAACCTCAGTCTTGAGCTGACAAGGACAGGATATGCTGGACAGCGCTCGTTCGTAGGGTTGCCCTGAGTTGGAGAGGACTTGTTGCCCTCGAACAACTGTTGTAGCTTTGACCCCACCCCAGTGGTCTCCTTATGTACAGCCACCGGCTTTCTCCCATACAAGTGGATGGTTCCCATTCATTCCTATGGATAAGAAGTAAAACTCGGCTGCTGGGAGCAGTTGCAGCGAGAACTAAGACTACACACTGCTCTTGAGCAGCCCAAAAGCTGTCTGAATATCACAGAAGAATTCTTCTGTCCAGCCTGTGCAGAGCAGAATATTTATCATCATCAGTAGAGAAATATAAGAACATTTCAGCATGTCAGGAGTGACAGAAAAAGAAAACCAGACCAGTCTATCCATAAAGCACTCACATCATAAGCCTGGCCAGATTTTATGTGAACTGAGAAACAAGACGCTTTGAGAAAGGAATTCTCTAAAAAAATAAGAAAAATTGTAAACAAAAATAGACAGAAAAACAGAAGGCCAAGTCTGACCATTCATCAATCCATTTATTCTGTTTTGATTTGATATGTGATGCTTTTATTAGAATTCCCAGAGAGTGTCAGACAAAAATTATTTCCACTGCTAATAACCTGGTCTAATAAGTCTTATTTTTCTGCTGCTCAAAGGGTTCTTAGACTGCCTATTTCTTGTGTTTGCCACAAATTGCTCAAGCTACCCAGAGAACACACACAGCTGAGCAGAGATATAAATATAAACGTTCTATAAAATATCCGAGCCCGCGCAGAACCAAATAAAAGCCAAAAGATCCGTAAAACAAACCAACAGCCAAAGCACTAAGCAGCATGAAACATCTTAACCACCGTCCTTTACGGGGAACAGTCTTTGAGGCTCATATGTGAACAAGCCACAAAAGGGAGATGATCTTGGGTCCCACGGCTGAGAAGGGCAACTTGCAGCAATAGATTGTTGCGTTGCTGCTGGCAGGTGGTGGGAGGAAAGCTGATCTCGAAGCACGGATGTGGTTTTGAGCTTTTGGAATGGGGAAAAAACCGCACAAAAGGTGTAGCATCACAGCACAGAAGACTGGAATTAGAAGAGCAAAGTGAATTTCCCTGAAGGAGGACCTATTGTGCTCTGAAACTCACTAGAACTGTTTCCTCTTTTCCTATTTCTTTCCTTTTTTGTAGAATAACACCCCTACATTGCTTATTCCATTTATTTTTGCTCTTTGGCATCCTCTGCGGGATTTCCCGTTTTGTTGGATTCTGTCTGCCCAATTACTGTACAAAAAGTGAGAGACCGGTAAACAAACAGGGGTTGGAGGGAAGGGGTGGGGCCAGGGAAAGGGGGCGTGGCCTTCTGGGGGAGCCCCCGAGCCTGAGGCTCCCCACCCCTGTATCACAGAATGTTGATTTCTTCAGCTGCAGCTTAGACATTGCCTAGCTTCTGCTGCCCCCGTTATGCTAGCTTCATTCACTTCTATAGACAGATGAATGGTGAATCTCTACAGTGACCGTCCAGGGGCATATAGTTACTGTTTGCATTTCCAGATGTTTATATATTTCCATAAGTAGGGCTGTGTATTTTCCACGCAGCCAGGTTTTGCAAGCAGGAAACCCAAATCCAAAATATGTACTCTACCTATGCTGTACCAACTGAATGTTGGGGGGAAAACATCATAATTTTCCAGTCTTTCCTTGTTTCCATAACTCTGGTTCATTTTGGTAATCCTAGGAGGGGACAAATTGTGACATGGTTCCCGAAAGTCCATCCTCAGCATGGTACCATCAGGGTAGGACTTTGGGGCAGAATTCTAGGGCTCTGTTTGGCAGCACAAGCATGAGCAGGAGGTCCCCCGAATTCTGCTGATGTTGGTGCACTGAATTTTTAAGTGAAGCAATGCAAAATCTAAAGATGGCAGGAAGCATTGTGCATCTCGAGTCTAAAATTAACTGTGCTGAATTTAACCCTGTTGCATGTTCAAACTGTTTAGCATCATATACGCATACTTTTAGGCATAGCTTTGCAGATCCAAGAGCTCAGACTTTGCATTAAAAATAAAGAAGCCAAAATATTGAGGATTTCATTGCCCTTTTATGTTTATTGCCACATTTTATGCTCCTGGACAGCTAGAAGGGCATGACACGCAGAGCATGCAAGCCTTATTCATAAGGAATTTGCAGAAATTTGCATGCAGTGGGCTATCCATGTACAGCTACCAAACAAGCATTAGTGGAATGAGGAGGTTTCCAAAGCCAAACAACAAAATCAAAGCCCCAAACCACCCAGGGATGTCACATTATTTGCTCCCACTATATAACTAAACATGTATGCTTAGTACCCTAAACCGTTGCATGGAACAAAACTGACATTATTTGCTAACAAAAAGCACACCAATACCTCCTGCAAATAATCACAGCAATTACCATGCAACAAGCCGAGACCAAGGTCTTGTTTGGATATGGTATTAAGTCAACAGAATGGAGAATTCTAGCTTCTTGTTCACAAGCATTGTGTGATACCCAAGCACTCATGTTTCATAGAAGAGTAGAGCTGGAAGTGCCCGGAGAGCCAATGGGTCTAAGCCTCTGATCGGTCTCCTTCTGCCCACAGGAGTGGCTAAATTAAGCAGGAACGAAGGCCAGGTATAGGGTTCCATCCAGGCCATGCCTCGCAGCCTCATTCCCAGAAACACCTGGGCTCATGCAAAGGAACTCATCCTGGCTTCAGATTCCACCTTCCTTCAAGATCAACAGGCCAAATGTCCCAGTTCAGACATCACACTGTCCCAGTTACTTTAGTCCAGAAATGTGGCATCTCAGTCAGCTCAAGAGGCAAACAGTATTTCAGAGAAGATGGGGGGGGGGTCACCCCCTCCAAAAATTAATAATAGCATAGAAAGCCTTTCCCGAGCTTTGGGAGAAGCATTCTAACCTTTAAGAAGCGGGATACATAAAAGTCACCGAATGACTGATAAATGGAGGAATGGGTGGAGCCACAGCCACCTGAGTTACCCCGGAGGGCTGGATCGGGCCCGCAAGCCTGCTGTTCCCCACCGAGATTGTCCCAGTTGAACCCAGATTGTACCAAGGCCACCACTTGCCCACAAAGCCCACAGAATCTATGGAATGCGCTCCCCAGAGAGGTCCGCCTGGTGCCGTCGTTATTTGTTTTTCGGCGCCAGGCGAAGACCTTTTTATTCAAACGTCATTTTAAGTGTTAATAGTATTTATTTATTTTATTCTTTGGCCAGGGCAACTTATTTTATATTGTTAACTTGTTTTATATTGTTAATTTATAGTATTTTAATTGATTTGTGAGCCGCCCCGAGGCTTCGGCGAATGGGGCGGCATAGAAATTTTCTAAATAAATAAATAAATGTCCTATAGAAGGACATGTCCAGGTGGCTACCCACCTGGAGAAGCGAGTGTGGCCTTGAGGGACCCCAGGCCCAGGCTTGGGCTTCCAACAGGGCTGCCTTGGGGCCCCCAGAGGGCTGAATCTGAGGGCTTCTGTGCCACAAGCTTTGCACTGGTTGGAGGAGCCCACCAGAAATGATAGGCCAAAGCGCTGCTCATGAACAACAACGTAGAAAGAGGGCAGCTGGCGCGCACGAAAGCTTCAGCCGGAATAAACGGGTCCATCTTGCATGCGCTGCAAAAGCCTTTGCTGTTCTGGCCACAGTTCTGGCTCATCACATGCCCACTCGGCCACCTGCCCTGCGCCACCAGCAGAAGGGGGGATTAAAATGGGATCATATGACTTGTTTGGAGCAGCGGAGGCAGGGAGCTCATCCAGGAGACCCTCTGGAGGCTCCCAAGCAGCACTTCCTCACCCTAGAGAGGCCACCCACTGGGGAGGGACCATAGCTCAGCGGGAGAGCACAGGGTGGCCCTCCGAGCATCTCCACGTAAAAAGACCAGGGTGCCAGAGTTGTGAAAGCCCCTTCTCCATGAGCTGCTGCAGAGGAGTGTCCTGAGCCCTCCAAAGGGATTTCCTGGGGGATGCACTGCAGTCAGAGGCATTTGACATTTGCCTTATGGCCCTCTCGGCTGCTCAGCTTGCCCAGCAACAAAGCTTACGCAAGAGGAGGGTGTCAGATTTAAGAGCGTGGAGCACAAAGGAAGCCGTCTGATCAGCCCCCTCCCCTTCCTCCTGGCCTGGACGAAGGACTCACCCGGCTGAGCTGATCCAAGAGTCTTTGGTTCTGTTCAGACAGTTCCTGGACTGCCCGCGTTTTCTCTCGATCGGCTTCCCGGAGGTGAACTTGCTGCTTCTCCAGTTCCCCCTGGAGCTGCTTCACATCGCTCTCCAGCTCAGACACGCGTCCTTCCCATTCGCCTTCTTTGTTCTCAAACCGTCGCCTCAGCTCGTGCTTCTCCTGCTCCAGGTGCTGCAGAACAAAGCCACAAAACAGGAAGAACACGTTAGGGCTGCCGTCTTTCATGCCCGGTGCTGGTGGGCACAGGCACACCGTGCTGTTCTTAAGGCATCTCCTGTTATGATATGGAAGACTGCAGATCGGCAGAGATGCAATCAGAAGCACTCCTAGTTCGACTCGGCAGCAGCTAAGGCAGAGCAGCAGAAATGACCTTAAAAGTGTGCTTTGCATCAAATCTGTTCTTCCCTTGCTGACTTTCCTAACCCTTGCCTCCTTGAAAGCCAGTTCAGCAGCCCCCTGGCCATCCAGTGGGAGATCCCTGTCATATCAGGTGGGTGGAGCTTTTGCATTCCAGTTTTCCTTGGGTACCAAATTCCACCTGGCTTCTTTCCTAAGAGTTGATTTCACACATTCTGAATCCTCACACAGCATACAGTCCTTCTGGAATGGCATCCTTTCAGAATTTAGAGATATTTCTTAAATAGGGTAAGCACTATATTAATAATAGTAACAGCAACAGCAACAACATCACACTGTAGCTCCCCTCAATCAAAGTTTCCCTACATACAGAAAATTAGCACATCAAGGGGCAAATTCTTTAGTGACTAGCTTTCTGGATGCATGACATTTCCACTGGAGAAGAGCTTTAACCTGTGCGATGTGATTGCAAGCCATCCTGAGATGCCACGCATAATGGCAAATAAAAGCTTTAAATAAATACCCCCCCCCTGTGTGAAATGGTACAGCCCTGCACGTGCCGCATGCTTACTCCAAAGGTGTTGTTTGGCCTCTGGCTGGTTTTTCATCTGTTTTAAGTTCAGGATGGCCTCCAGATATTTGGCTGCAACCCCTCCCACATGTGTTTGATTACAGGCCCCGTAACCCCATTGCATGCTGGTTATGAATGGTGGGTACTGTAGTCTGGCTAACTGGGAGGGTGCTAGGTAGGGGACGTCTGGTTTCTAACAAGAGCTACTCAATAAATATAAAATTATTCCATGAGTTCGCAACAAAATAAGTATTCTTGACAAGGAATAATCCAGATAGGGGTGGGTGATCATTCCTTCCCCTCACGTAATGTCAGCTGAGCTTACAAATCTATTTCCACATCAATAGAGCGCTCTCTCACTTCCTTAAGCAAGAGCTATTCCAGCTGTCAGACATTCCAAGTTTAATTTTTCCAGGCCAGGGGGCAGGGGGGTGGTAACCATGGAAAATTCTACCAGCAACAAACAGTTCGCTCTAAATGCTTGCCTATCATATCTTCCCAGAGTCCCGATTTCTGGGAATCGGTGGGATATAAATATGCTGATAATATTATTTCATAATTTATAATCAGTATTAAAGTGAAATCAGTCTACAGAGTCCCTAACAGATTTTTCTCAAGGACTTAAAGATACTATAAGCAAAAACCTTTGAGCCCACTGAGTACTTGTCTTAAAATATATGGTATGAACAAGTCACAGAAGCACACAAACTAGTCAGGGCTGTTCAAATGCATTCTTAATTTAAATTACCCTCTCCCATTCATACTTGCTTGGACCCCAAGGAGGGCTTGCGAAATGAGGTCAGGGAGGTGGTTCTTTGGGGAGGCCCACTTTGCTGGTAGCAGCCCAACTGTGGAATGGCCTTCCCAGAGAAGTCCGCCTGGTGCCTACCCTGCGGTCTTTTTGGAACCGAGCAAAGGCCCTTTCATTTCCTCCAGCTTAATAGCCCTTCAAAAAAATTTTGAATGTACCAGGGTATTTTTTAATCTTTGCACTGCTGCTGGCTTTTATCTTTCTTTAGTTTTATTCTGTTTTGAACTTCGTGTGGCCACTCCTGCCTTTTTTTACACCCTGCCTTTTTTTTCTCATGCAATGAACTGAAGACAGCTTAAACTTTTCATATATTGTGTTCTCCTATGTAATAGTATTTTATGGTTTTGAGTTTTGTTTTGTGAACCAGCCAGAGAACTTCAGTGGCTGGGCAGCGGAGAAATACAATTTTTAAAAAACTACATAACTTTAAACCATTTGGCCGAATCCCCTTTTTGTCAGCATGGAGCACATACACAAACGTGAGCAAATGTAGCATTTCCCCTTGCCACCAAAAGACAAACAAACAAAATTAAATTGGGCTTTAACATCATGTGAAGGCAAGTAGTTCCTAGGCTAAAATAACTTCGCCTGAATAGAAGCTTGGCATCTTGGGTGCCCGGTGAAGACCAATGGCCAAGGGTTGCCAAGACTCTCCCCCATTCCAGATTACAACATAGCCAACCAAAGACGAAACACCAAACATTACCCTGTCTGTTTTTCCATTTCCTGAGGTGGTGTGGTGGAGATGAAGGAAGTACCTTACACTCAGGGTTTGCAGGAATAATGATTTTAAAAAGCGAGAGAGAAACACTCTCAAATGGGGGAAAAGCCCAAACTGGCTCAGTGAGAAGGGAGCTAGTATACACAACCATAAAGGAAGAAAGCAGGAAGGCCGCGATGATCTATTATCACCACAAAACATCCACAGCAACTCACAAATTAGCAGCCTAGATGTTTATACGTGTTGGCTAGATTACTGCAAGATGCTCAGCCCTTGGAAAGTGTTTGAGAACTGGTGTATGATTTTGAGAACATTAACTCTAGGGCAAAATTCAGACTACTGCTTATCTATAAAACCTATCATGACTTAAGGGCCAGGATATTGGTAAGACTGTCTTCTCCCATATGAACCTAACCCCGTGTTGACACATGTTTCAAAGCCCCTGTTATGCAGCCCCACCACCAAATGAGGTCCAGTTGGCTCTAAAAACAGCGCCTTCCCTGTGGTGGCACCCTGCATGCACAATTATCTCTCAGAGGCATGGGACTAGCCCCACCCTGCTGGTGGGGAATGGAAACATTTATTCCACTTGGTTTTTGGGGACTTTTAACATATGGCTGAATGTTTTAACTTTGCTCATGTTTTGCTTTAAGGTCTTAGTTATAACTGTTGCTATTTGATGGGTTTCGGTTGGGTTTAGTTTTGCTCACTTTTTTTTGGAGGGTGGGGAAGCTTCTTAAATGCCAAAAAGCAGCATGAATAAGCTTTAGAAAAGAAATAAAAATACACTATTCTGCAGGCTACAGCAGCTTGAAAAATGGAGACACTGGTACAGAAAATTCTGCCTTTAGGAGAAGAACTATGCTTAAATGTACACCATGCAAATCAGAATAGAAGTAATAGATAAAATGCTCTGCTGCTCTTGAATACAGAAAGGTTTTCTCACTGGCTTCCTCCTGTTTTTCGAATGCATTAATGCTTCAGGCCAGGGAAAGCATGTCTGGAGGATTTAATGCAGTGAAGTCATTTTCAGCCAGGGAAGAATTAAGGTCATTTGATTCAGAAAGCGAAAAAAGAACACAGCTGACAGATGGAATTTCAGGAATAAAGGACATTTTGAGCTTCTGCAACAGGAGGTGCAGGGCGGGGAGACAGGCAGGCAGGCAGCCCTCCATCGTGGGGGGCTGATAGCTGCTGCAAAGAGGGGACTCTGCTCATGGCACATCCAGAGGCGGAGCGTGTTTGGCACACCGAGCGACCCACTTCCACCGCCAGCATCTTCAGGCGAGGCTGAAAAAGGTCACCAAGTCACTGGAGAGGCAGTTTCAACTTTAAACTCCGAGGAAAAGGCAGCCCGGAAGCTGGGAAGCTTCGGTGGCCAGGAGGCAGGGCTGAGGCCTTGGGGAAGGAGGTGTGGCTACCTGGGGGAGTCCAGGCAGGCTGGATGTGGCCCCAGGTCTGAGGCCCCACACTCTTGCCCTGTCCAATTCCACTTAGATAAAGTGCCACCAGAGTTGCTGTTTGCCATGGTTAGCATCTGGACAACAGTCTGAACGGGTAGGCACACCGGCCGCCAAGCCACAGTCTTCCGCACAATGGCGTGATGTTCCGCACTTCTCATTTAAATGAAAGGAATCATTGCACATGCTCCAGCCATTAGCAAATGCAAATGCCATGCCATTCAGTATCCCTCCCGATGCTCTTTCGATGATGGGACTTCACCGCTTCCACATGGGCACATCATTAATAACCATCCTAGCATGAGAGGGCATGGAAGGTCGTAGGTCTGTTTCGTTCGGCACTGGACCTTCTGCGGGGGCCCTCCTGGAAGCGGGCATGCCTCTTCTCAGTACACCACCCTTCCAGTTGGCTAGCGCTCCTTCCCAAGTGCAGCAGCACCTCGTCTGGCTCTGAGAACGCCTCCTGTCTATCCTGGGGACAGCGTCCTAGGGATCAGCTCCTCCGCTTCTCCCATCTCCAAGTCTGAAGCCCCAAATTCCCAGGCCTCCTCTGCCGCCCCCCTAGGGCCAGATCTGTGTGACCTGCAACTGCGCACGTGCGTATGAAACCAGCCTAGTCAGTCCTTCTGCTCTCCAGATGAAAGAGATTCCTACCCAGGGGCATCACACCAGATTCAAGAAGAACGGGCTTCCAGAAGCAGGCAATTCCGGATTCACACCTCCAGGGCAAACAGGCTGCCGTCCTTTTCCCGAACTCCAGAAGAAATAGACTTGTGCACCACCCCTAGCAGATGGGCCAGAGTGGCAGCATGGTGCGCCAGCAGGTTGTTTGGCGTATCTATAGGTATGGGTTGCCCCGTACAGCATTACCGATCATGAGGCCCTCTAAGGATTCTCTAGGGCCAGCAGGAGGGACTGAAGAATATCAGATTTTCCTGATGACCAAACAAGAAGGGTTAGTTTTTTAGGGTTCTATCAGGGAGACACAAGGTCAAAAATATAGAATAAACCTCTGCCAAGAAGGTCAGAATGTGTGAGGATAAGCCTGGAGCCAAATGTTTTGATGCCAGAAGTGTCGGTCAAGATAACTATGTATAAAAGTAATGGAATGCTTTCTGCTGAGTTGTTTTCTGTTGCTAATCACTGCAAAGAGCTAAATGCATAAATTCCCTGTGTGTGATACTGTGGCAGCTGGTCCCGACAGGGGATGGGCTCACTCGCTGTCGTTATGCACCTACCATAAAGAGTCTT